GGAAAAAGAGCCTAAAAAGAAAACTATTCCATCCGTAACATCTAAGGATTGGTAAGCTGCTGTATATTCAATGTTTGCTTTACACCCCGTTCACATTGGATGCCATTTGCATGCCAGGCGACTTCCAAATCATATGCCAAGTCAACCGTCTTGTCTGCTATTAGAGCGGTCATATCTGTGCGCTTCTGACTTGGTCATAGCCGTACCGATTTCTAAAGTAGTACACGCACTACTTTTGTTGCAATTTGCATAGACATCTGTGTCAGATGTCTTGCAAATCGTAACTGAAATCGGCAGGTCACCTGATTTTGAAATCGTGCGACTTCACTGTAAGTCGCATGATTTCAAAATTGGCTTTGATGTGACCGGGGACTTGGGGCTTTATCACTTTAAAGAAGAATTCCAGGTGTGGTATTTTCATACATCCAGGTTGGACCAATGTAATGATGCATATACTATACCTGTGGGTTCCCTATGGAACACGGGTGTCAAACTGGCGGCCCTCCAGCTATTGCCAAACTAAAAGTCCCATGAGGCATTGCAAGATTGACAGTTACAAGCATGACTCCCAAAGGCAGAGGCATGATGGGACTTGTAGTTTCGCAACAGCTGGAGGGCCGAAGGTCGAAGCTGGAAATCGCTGTATCACCCTCGGTTCACATATTTGCGGCTGTGCCCATGAATGGACTCCCGTGCCCTGTGACACGCAGGGAAAGAAGTCCCTGCACTTCTTCTGAAAACGCAGCCCACATGGGAACCTCGGTTCCCAGTAAGGTTGCTTTTTTCCAGTGCGGGTGGCGTGCCATTAGAACTAATGGCACCCGCCTGCGGGTCCACGTTTCTCTCTGTGGGTGGTGCGACTGCACAGATTTTCGTGCAGATCCGCAGCGGCACCACCCACACAGATGTGAATATGTGCTAGACAATATGACAATAACAATATACACAATAATATTATATAATAATTAATAACACAATAATAGACAATAACAATATGGGTTAGACAATGCTATTCAAGTGATTACAACTATTTTTTTTTTTTTTCCTCTGCTGAGTGGCAAGGAAGGGTGCCAACATGGCCAACAATGGAGCAAAATTCAGTAGGAAACAAAGCAAAATTTGCTGTGTGCCCAGCTTTATTTGCAGAATTACCAGATGTAAAAAAAAAAAAAAAGCCTGGAAAAAACACCATAATTAGGACTAGTAAGCTGCAAAATATTACATTTTTGTATTTTAAGGTTTTACATATTCTTTGAAGAAGAAAATAAGGCGGGTTGGCAAATTAGTTATGGAGTTAGTTATGTTATGCTAGGCATACTGTCTCTGCTAAAGTTGGAAGATAGAAACCTAAACAAAAAGTGTTGTCACACGGAATATCCTGCACAGCCACCTAGAATTTAGCGAGGATGGGGAAATCAAAAGGTTAGTACATTCCAAATTCTCTCGACTCCTAAAACAGTGGCTTTATCCATGTTTGAACTGTGTATTCTTCTTGCCAGAGGTGTTCTTAAATAGAGAGGTGTACTCTGTGCATTGGGCTGTCCCGGTTTTCTGGCTGTAGAGCAGAATGCCAGGAATTCCCTGCCTGCAAGAGAAGGTTGGTGCATTACTTTGGATTTCCAGGGCCTGTCACTAGTCATCACAAATGGATATTTCATTCTGGAGAAGGTGCAGCTAGGGACTCCACTCTGCAGCTTGTCAGATCGCACTCGCTTCTCAGTTTCTCCCCGTCTCCAATCCCCAGGAACATTATTTAAGCAGCAGCCTCCCGGCGCCTCGTCAGATGATGGGTGTTTGAAGTTCCCTTTTCGGTCTTGATAAGTAAAAGAAAAAGGAGAAAAAAAAAAACACAGAGCCCTCGTCTTTGTTAAACAACTCTAGAGGCATTCTTTTGTTGAAGTTCTGCCTGGCACATTTGAGGCTTCCAAACTAATTTGTCTTCATGAAACCAAACAGCTACTTGTGACTTGCAGGCTCGCTTGGTATAAAAGCGGAATGTGCCTTTTGAAAAAAGGGAATCAAAGCAGACAGAGGCCTGGGTTTCCTTCCACCCTAAAGTGTCATTAAAAGGGAACGAGGAAGCTGGAGCGTTTTTGTGACATCCAGAATTATAGAGCGAGCTTTTCTTGTTTTAGAATTATCTCGCTGCAGTTTTCGTAGGAATTGATTTTTTTTTTTTTTTTTTTTAGTACCCGTAATTCCATTCTGTTACACAAAAGAGACATTTTCTTAGATGTTTAAGAAAAAGAAAATGGTAATTACAGCCTAAGTTGAACTTTATAACTTTATTTATAGCTGTGACATATTGGCTCTCCATACTTGGTATGCCTGATTTAAATGGTATCTAAACCAAAGAACAAAAATATAATATTCCTATTAACCAGTTCTTAGACATGGGGGTTGCATTAGTTTTCTTTTTTTTTGTTTCTGACTACGAGCATTTTCTGCAAGCACAAATATCAGTTGTTCATGGCAGAAATGCATTGTGCTTTCCACTTCCTATGAGCTAAACTAAAAGTGCAAGCAGTGTTACCTTCCATCTATAATCTACTTTTTTCTATTGAAGAACACAGGAAGTTTTTTAAGTTTGGGTTATACAGTTGCCTACGGGAGGCAAGCAAAAACCATAAACTAGTCCGGGATAACCCATCCTACTTCCAGCAGGCTTCTTTTTTTTTGTTAGTGTTCCATATTCTAGACTGCCCAGACAGAGGTGGTACGCAGACCTGGTAAGATTCATGATGGATGCCCCATTGGCTTTATCAGATTGTCAGGATCTTCTGTCTCAAGGACCCAAGTTACCATCCTGCTTCACGGTTGCTGGCTTTAATGGCCTTTGTAGGAGATGAGCATCTCTGAATTTGTGGTTTCTACGATGCTAAAAGTTAGGAAGGCTACTTTTCTTAAGGTATATCACTGGATATGGCAGGCATGCTTCAATTGTTTTGAGGTTCCATCATGGAATTTTCTCAATAGGACAAGTCTTCTCCTTCCTGCAGGTGGATCTGAACCAGCATTTAGTTCTCAGCATTATCAAGGATCAGGTTTCTGCACTTTTTGTTGTTGTTATTATTATTTTTATACAGGATTTATATAGCACCAACAGTTTGCTCAGCGTTTTACGGGAGACAATACAGTTCAATACAAGAGGGTTAGGAGGGCCCTGCTCCTTGGAGCTTACAATCTAATGCTCCAGAACATTGATCCTTCTTGCCTTGATTAGGAACTTTGTGCAAGGAGTCTCCCATGTAGCTCCCCCTGTTCATTCTCATGTGATCCTGTGGGATCTGAATGTGGTTTTCTCTTCGCTTCAGAAACCACAATTTGAACCAATTAAAGACATTCTTCTCTCTGTCACCCACAAGGTTGTGTTTCTTGAAGCTATCGTCTCAGTAAGGCCTGAGCTGGTAGCTTTATCCTGAAAGGAACCCTTTCTGCTTTTGCCAAAAGACAAGGTTGGCTCAGGACATTTTTCTTGCCCAAGATAGTTTGTCTTTCACCTTAATCAGGACTTGGAATCTTCCAATCCTGTCTGGTTTCAGTGCACCAAAAATAAATTTCCCTCAATTATCTGGATGTGGTTTGATCTGTGAGAGTCTCTCTCAACCACTGCCTCTTTTAGAAAGACAAGACTCCCTTTTTCTCACTCCAGATGGTCCCTTAAAGTGTATCTAAGCCCAAAATGAAAAATATAATATATTGCAGCTTACTAGTCCTTGGTGTGGTGACTACATTTGTTTTTCTTTTTTCAAGCTTCCTTTGCTTTATTATTACCTGGCAATCCTGCAAGCGCAAATGTGCCTGTGACGTGGCGAAGATCTACAGTACCCGTAATTGACTATATGCCGCGCCTTACAGGTTGTCAAGTTAGAATTGCTTATGAATGATGGCTCTAGAATTATTGCTAACGCTCACATTTGCGGTGAAACCTCACTTGTGGCACATTCACTGTTTACATACACCTGCGCATCCTACACGTGCATTTGCATGTGTGTGCAAGGCGATGGGGTTGCTTTTTAATTCTTTTTTTTTTTTTTTGTTAATTTTATTTAAAAAATTTTTCATTTTTTTAAAAATAAAAGCGACTCAAATTACTTTTAAATGGTACCAAGCTGCTGCAGCTGTAATCTTATTGTAACCACTTGTGTTCCATGCTGTTTATAAACGTCCTGTGGACGGCAAGCAGTTAATGCTCATGTAATGGAGAGGAATACTTGCCTTATTTCTGAATCTGACAGGGGCAGGCATTGTTTGCTTCTGCTTCAGCCCTGACATCATCACATACAATGCAGGGCCAGCAAAGACATTATTTTTATGTTCATATTAATAAGAAAAGACAATCAGTTTTTAAGAAAACTCTAAATTGTAGCAATTGTAAGCTAAACACTCAAGGTACAATCCACAATACCCCACTGCAAATAATAAAATATATAAAGTGTAGCACAATAGCTATATGGAAAAGTTCATCAAACGTTCTATATGAACAAAAGAATCCCGTGATTCGCAATGCGTGATGATATTCAAACATCCAAGAGTGAAGGGGCTCTGTCCCACCGCCAAAGGAAATCGAGGCCGCTCACCTTACTGACATGACCCCTGATTCAACAGAAAAGTCATATCAAACTTTTCCCTTAGGGATCAATATACAGGTGGAATCTTCACCCTCCTCCAGATGATAGCGATGTATCCGTCAAAATATGCAATCATAAAAGCAAGACAAACATAGTGCTCTGTTTGCCAAAACGTACTAAGAAATGTAATAAAACTGCACTTACACAAAGCGGCACTGAATAGTGCAAAAAAACAGCGTGCGTAGTAACAAGGCGTGGCCCCTCCTCCTCTACACATTACGTCCCTCTGACGAAGTCCCATAGGAAGTAACGCATACGGGAGGAGGGGCCACGCCGTTGACGTCACCCGCAGCTTTCTCCATTGCCATGGTGTTGTATCCGACTCTTTGCGTTGCACTTGGTGATGTAAGGCTTGGATGCAGCTGCTCGGCCATGGAAACCCATTCCATGAAACTCTCTACGTACTGTTGTGATGATCTGAAGGCCACACCAAGTTTGGAGGTCCTTAGCTATTGACTGCAGACAGCGACTTCTGCGCACTGTGTGCTTCAGCATGCGCTGACCCCGCTCTGTCATTTTACGTGGCCTACCACTTGGTGGATGAGTTGCTGTTGTTCCCAGTTGCTCCCACTTTGTTATAATACCACTAACAGGTGACCGTGGAATATTTAGCAGCAAGGAAATGTCACGGATGGACTTATTGCACAGGTGACAACTTATCACTGTACCACGCTTGGCGTCACTGAGCTCCTGAGAGCGATCCATTCTTTCACAAATGTTTGCAGAAGCAGTCTGCATGCCTAGGTGATGATTTTATACACCTGTGGCCATGGAGGGGATTGGAACACCTGAATCCAATGATTTGGAGAGGCGTCTCAATGCTTTTGGCCATATAGTGTATATGGAGTTCAACTTATGCAGGCCATAGATGGGGAGAAAAAACGGCCGATTTTTCGTCCGAAAATATAACCGGCCAATTATCTTATCGTTAGTGGACGATTTTGTCGGCCGTTTTTCGTGTATTTTGGACTTTCAGATTATCGGTGATGTTGGAAAATTTTCGAAAAACACCCGACTTTATCCTCATTGATGGTCAAAAACGAACGATCGTTTTCTGAAAAAGGATCACAAAGGTCACAAAATGACATCATTTCCCGTTATAGGTTACTCATTAATCGGCCGATTTTCGTAATAATTGGTGGTCAGGTAAGTTTTTTAGACCGACCGATAGTTCGTTAATCGGCCGAAAATCTGCCGTTTTTCTCCCCATCTATGGCCTGCATTACTTTAACTCTTTTAAGGCAGTTGATCCAGTAGATAGTAAACCCATACTGGTGGTTCTCTGTACTCATCAAAGCTCTTCAAAATTTGTCCATGTTTTCAAAATAAATAAAATACAAAAATCGGCAAGGAAATTTTAGCATCTTTTGCTAATTTGAATTTATATAATGCGGGTTAAAATGTTACCCTGCCATTAAACAAGCCTTAGATTTCATCAGGCCGGCTGCTGTCAAACGCAACGGTGGCTTTTTAAACGTGATCTGCAGGTGACCTTGAAACGTGGGTGCAAACAGCTTTGCAATAACCAATTAGCCAGAGCTGTGACTGGGAGATTGCTCAGGAGCCTGTTATCTGTGAGCTGTGAGCGACCAACAAATTGAAGCGCTCGGAATCAGGCTAATGGAATTTCATGGCACACTGAATCCTCTCCTGCCTCCTCCTGCCTTCACAATATGGCTAAACTTCTGAAAAATTAAAATGGAACTAAGCAGGACTCTGCCGTGTCCGCGGCCCTGAGATGGCCGATTACATCCCCATGGAGGCAATTAAAGGTGCGCAGTGGGGGGCTGAAAACTTCCAAAGAAGTGCTTGCATTTCAAAGAAACACGGCAGGTCGGAAAAATATCAGTGTTAATGCTTATTTGTGTGATAGAGTTGCTTATTTCTGTTCTAAAGCTAGTAAAGCTGTAACACTTTCATGATGGAAGATGAGTGCTTCCAAAGACTCTTGGTCCTATTTTAAGGATCGTTTTTATGGAAGGAATATTCCGGATGCTATTGAGTGATGTGGTTTTTTTTAGCTCCAGGATATTGGCATTGGACTGTTAACCCTCATTCACACTATTCCACACGCTGCAGGCTGGTTGCGGGTGCAGGAAGCGCACCTGTTCCCGCATCACGTTTCTCTTGCGAGACTCACAGGGGGTGCCATTTATTCTCAATGGCAACCCCACGCATTTCATTCCGCAGCACCATGCGGTTTCCCTGCAGATGCATTTTGGAAAAGGTGCATGCACCTTTCATTGCGTGAAACACAGGCACAGCAAGCCCGCACTAGTGTGAACAGGGCCTTAGATTAGGGTTCTAATTGGTAGACTTTAGGAGGTTAAAGCTACCCTGTCGTTGGGATACCTGTATTTAAACAACACTTTAAAATACATGTCTAATGCTAATAAGTACCCACACTGTGAAATTCAGTCTTGGCTCTTATGCATAGCTAGAAGCACCATTTAGGGTGGATCTTGGGTATCCAACACTTGCCTGCTGCTTATGACTCTCCACTGTGTGCTGTGGTTTACCCTGCCAGCCTCTGTAATTACTGTGCTTCTTCAGAACTGCAGGTACACACCAGTGGTGTAGCATTTGGCATTTGGAACCACAGCACATGATGGGGAGATGCATACATTCGACATACCTGGAAGTGTCGGATGGTGAAGATTCTAGTGGTGTTTCTACATATGCAAAGGCTGGATTCATCAGCGACAGTACTGGTACATTCTTTACAGAGGAACTTCTCCTAAAATCTAACACTTTTTTTGTCCGCCTAGGTGATCTGAGTGGAAGCTCCTTCCCCTCTCTCCACCCAGCCCCAAACTCTTGGGACACGTCACAGGTCCCTGGAAGCTCTGAGTTCATTCACAATGCGGCTCCCCCGTGTGCAGTGGGAAGCCAGTGGGAAAGTCACAATGTATATGAGAAACCCTCAGCACAATGGACCTCCTAAAAAACAAATATTGCTGCTAGCATGTCAAAGTAGGAAGCCACAATGTATATGAGAAACCCTCAGCACAATGGACCTCCTATAAAACAAGTATTGCTGCTAGCATGCCAAAGTAGGAAGTCACAATGTACTGTATATGAGAAACCCTCAGCACAATGGACCTCCTATAAAACAAGTATTGCTGCTAGCATGTCAAAGTAGGAAGTCACAATGTATATGAGAAAATAACCTTCAGCACAATGGACCTCCTATAAAACAAGTATTGCTGCTAGCATGTCAAAGAAGGAAAGTCACAGCCGGCTTCACACACTCAAGTAGACTGCGCCAAGGACCCAAAGATCAAGATCCAGCTCGAGTGAGGATAGCGCTGGATTACTGGACTGATAAGTTTCTCTATATTAAAAGTCTACAGCTTACAGTATTTGTAGCTGCTGACTTTTAATTTATTTTTGAAAAATGTCCGAAGATCCTAAATACTCTGTGTGTTTCTTTAAAATACTTGCATCCCAATGCAGTTTTTCTCAGCACAAGTTTCCTTTAAAGAGATTCTGCCACCTATTTAGAAATGTGCAGGCAAAAAACACATAAAATAAAGTATTGTAAATGCTTATTTACAGCATTTTTTCTTTCCATAAATTATATTTTATTCTCTTGCAATGTGCCTTTGATAGAAGTTTTGACTATATACTTCAGGAAGAGTCAGTTTCCCCGAGCACTGTCCCCTTCCTCCAGCCATGTCACAGTCGCCTTATTTTCCTTGAGTGTCAGATTTCCCCCTATGTTAGCCCAGCCTCTCCATCCCTTCCTTCACCTACGTACATAACCTTTTATGATGCTGGCAGGGCGAAGAAGAATACTATAGAGTCGTCACTTGAGTGATGACTATGGGTCTGCCATCCAAGATGGCAGTGCCCAGCAGCACTCAGATGTTGGATGTCTACACAAGGAGGCTTTTACAGGTTAATAGCATAGGTTATTTATGCATGTACATTTTATGTGTAGATTTTTGCTGAATGGCGACAGGGCCATGTACAATGCAAAGACTCATGGAAACTATAGATGTTTGCCTTCAAAGTAAACCAAAAAAAAGTCACAAAGTACACCATGCATGTAAATAGGCTATGGTGAAAGAAGTCTTTCTGTGACTCCTTTTGCTTCATACTTGTTCTAGGAAGTGACTTAGTAAGTAGAGTAACCCCTTGACGCTGATGTAACACAAATATGTGGCCTCACTGAACTGGGCTTTTTTCCGTGGGGCCACATATTTGCGTACCTGTTTTTGTGCTGGGATCACGCCGCACGACGCGCTCCCAGCACAAAGGCCGTCACTGAACGTACCAGGTCCCGTTCTAACGATCGGGACCCAGGACTCCCGATTCCAGGTCACATGATCTCTGTGATAGACTCTGATTGGTTATCACAGTGACCAGTCACTTTACAGCCCAGCCCCCTTGTTTTTTTTTCTCTCTATGAATGGAGAATAGAGATGCATTGTATCTCTAATGCCTGGCATAGAGGGAATTTTTTTTTTTTTTTAAATAAATAAGTAAATATTAAACAATACAATAAAAAATACCTAGATCAAGGTTTGATCTAGTTCAGTGCCAGGGTTAGTGTTTGGGTCAGGGTCAAAGGTCAGGATTTTTTTTTTTTTTTTTAATTTGGTGTCAGTGTGTTTTAGGTAAAAAAAAAAAAAAAAAAGACAAAAACAAAATGCGCACTATTGGCTCTGGGCTGTACTACGGGTACAAACAACATACACATATATGGTATCACTGCGATCGTCAAGAGCTGGAGAATTTATTTTGGGATTGTTTTATGGTGGTAGTAACAAGAAACACACAGCTAAATAAAAAAAATATATTTTTGTTTTACTATTTTGGGCCAGTTTTCCTTTGATCATAGGTATTGTCTGTTGATTATAGATGTAAATTACATTTTCTTAATCATACATCATAGGATACGAGAGGTTATTCGTAGGGCTCTTTCACACCACGTGAACGATGGCGTGTTTGCAGCCCTTAGCCTGTCTTTGCTGTGCTGAACCTGTTCTGCTCTCAGGGAGTCATTGCACCTGTTTAGGAACCAGAAAGGTTTCAAGGTTGTTATTCCAACTTTTTCATGGCGCCCAAGCCAAATGGTGATGTGTGGCCCATTCTGGATCCAAAGCACTTGAGCAAGTTTCTGCATGATCAAAAGTTCTAAATGGAATCTGGTGCCAGTGATTGCTTCTCTTAGTCAGGGGGACTTTCTGGTCTTGGTGTGCCGCAAGTATGCCTACCTCAACATCCCAATTTTTCTGCCTCATTAGCGCTACCTGTGTTTTGAGGTGGGGGAACAGCATTTCCTGTTTGTGGCTGTGCCCTTTGGCCAGGCCATGGCACCATGTGTATTCAACAAGGTGCTTGTTCCTATGTTAGCTCTTCTGTGAGCAATTCCCGCTCTTGGGTATTTGGACGATCTGCTCCTCTGGGAACAATCAGAGAAGAGCCTCAAAGCCACTGTGCAACAAACAGTACAAGTCCTACAGAACTTTGACTGGTTCCTCAATTTACAAATTCAGCCGTGAACGTTTCACAGTGCCTGAAGTATCTGGGCCTTGTTTTGGACACTACCCTGCCATACTTGCTACTTTCCCAGGGAAATACTCAGTCCCTCTGGTCCAAGGTGTAGGAGTTATGTTTCCTGGAGTGTCTCTCTATTTGTCCTTGCACAGGGGTGCTAGTGTTGATGGTATTCTCCATCAACTCCAAAATTTAATGGCAACTCAACATCCTGACAGCATGGGACAAAACTC